GTGAAACTCAATTTTGAAGATGGGGATCATCACGCCTTTCTTACAGTCTTCGAGGATCACTGACTTACGCCAGATGTAGCTGAAAGGTAGGGGAATTCAGAGGAGGTTTTCAGCCTGAACTTCAAAATTTCAGCCTGAATCCTGCCTTTTCCAGAGGACTTACAGCTCTGACAGAGTCACATCTCCTATCGCATTTTCTTGATCAACGGTGGGGTGCAGTCAACATCAACATCTAATGCTTTTCCAACTTCCTCTTCCATCTGGAGATATGCCAGAGGAACCAGGTCTACTGAAACGTTGTGCGAAGTGCTAGGGTAATCGTTTCCGATGGTCATCAGGGTCTTGCAGTAGCTCATTGAAGTTGCTGCATGAAACCGATGGTATGCTTTTGCATGCCACCTTTGGCGATGGTGTTCACCCGAATGTACAGTAACTTCCAGTCTCCATTCGCCGTTCTGTATTCCAACTTCAGCGCTTTGAGGTCCGATCATCATTGCCTGTCCTTTCGGTAGCTCCTATTGACCGCTTTCACGAGAAAGCGATACTCATTTTCCTTCGTGTCGGAATGTCATGAAACGACGGCCGGTTCGCTACATTTATTCCCTAACAAAGTTTCTGTTGTAACTTAGGCTGCTTGTCTTTCTGCTGATGAAGCGTTGAAAGTGGCGTAAACGATGCCTTCTATATAGCGGTTATAGAGCAGTTCCGCGTCTTGGCAGTTAGCGAAGTAGTTTATGGCAGTGAATTCGTCGTTGATTTCCATCTGAACGCCTCGTGAGTGAAGGGATCATCCTTCAACTTCTCCGTATCGAGGAGAGCGTCCCTTTTCCAAGATGCTTCTCCCGTAGTGGCAAGATAAATGCGGCCCTCTCTCGAGTAAAATGATGAAATCGTGAAATTATGATTAAAAAACTGACAGCACTGCCAGAGAAACCTAATAACAAACTAACATCGGGGTACAGTATGGTCTCCAGAAACAAAAATCCGTAACTCCCAGCAATAAATCAGTGACCACTGCAAAAGCAAAATGATTGATCGAAAACAACAAAGTCAACGACGTACTCCTCCATCCTTTGCTTTGACAACTTCGGTTCCCGCTTCCTGAATTCTGCCCGTAAGTTGGTGAGCTTCAGCTTCGTCGAAATCAACTTGCGGTGTGCAGTTGGACAAGACTGGTATGATCGTCACCCCCGAATGGCCGCCAATTACCGGACAGTCGATGGTTGTGACATCAAGGCTCTGCAAGTGCAGAGGTAAGAGGTAACAACTTACCTAGCTTAGGGTCGTCTTGATGGCACATACCTTCTTTTCGGCGATGAACGTTCGCGCACGAACCAGATCTAGCGTGGTGACTCCGAAGATGCGCCGGGGGTCATGAACGCCGCGTTTCTTGAAAACTTCAGTGGCAATCGGCACTGTTGAATTTACCTAAATGCGACAGCGGCTTGGTCAGCGATGACACACATACAAAGCAGCAGCGTAAAAGTGAGACTAATATTACAGGGCACAAAAGCGTCGTATGATAACAAGAAACGTCATAGAAAAGATAGCTATGGCAATGCATCATTCAGCAGTCCACTGTATCAACATGCACTACGTGTTTAAGAAGGGGCGCAGGTAAGCGCTAAGTTTGTCAAGCATCTCATCTCTATCCACGGCTTGCAGCAAGATCGACATTGGAAGATTTTCAAACCTTGAAGTCGGCTACTCACTGAAGGATTCCAACAGAAAGATGAATATATTTTGTTATCAGACTTCAAACCTCGAAGCTACGATAGTCTGGAAGGCGAAAGGTCAAAAGATGATTCGGACGGAGGGTCGACAGTACTACAACCTTATATGTTGCCCCAAACAGAGTGCAGCCCATATATAACAAGCCTACTTACTGATTATCCGCAGTCAGTACAATTCAGGAACTTGAATTTATGCAAAAGAGCACCGATAACGACTATAACATACGACGTATGTCAGACTGCAATATGGCCATGTCCTTTGTATTCATCGTTGCAGCATCTGCTTACCGTCACTCAGGGTGACTTCTTGATAGACAGTCAGATCTGTTCAAATGTCGGTCTACAAGTAAATTTCACTAATTTTTTAGGTCACTTTAATAATTAAATTTCCTATCACTGAAACTACTGTCCAGATACGCTCATCAATTCATCCTGTCTCCGTCGCAGAAAATAAGCAACAACCACAGTACGGTATTGCATGACAGAAGGAAACACAATTGAATATATACTCCACAGCCGCTAGAGTAGTCGCAAACTCCTACTATGAATCCTGAAACGATTCCATAAGGCACTAGGGCAAACACAACTCATTATGCCCTTATGAGAGATTAACACAGAAAAGCAATCTGACTACAACTTGACTGAACGAGCGGGGCCAACAATTAGTAATAATTTCAAACGTAAATTTCAAATCTGTAAATTTTTTTGCCCTGCTATCAGTGCCATCTAAATAGATGATATCAGACAAGAAAAATGGAATAAGCGGAGGATGGTTCATGGATGACATTAGGACATGGGAATAAAATAGATGATTCGTTGCTGGGATTGTCAGAGTATTAAAAATTTGGCAACACGCTGCAAGAACTTTTAAATAATGTTAGCACCTACCTAAATGGAGGAAGAAATTTGTCGCTGTCATTATATGGGCGATCAACTGGTAAGAACTTCAAAAATGGCTTGTGTGAACTGCGTAACATATATGTGTTTTCCGGCTTCTGTCGGCAGACGAACTTCACTGCAGATAGGGAACATCCCCGGAATTCCATCAAGACCGTAGTGACGTGTAGCACAGATAGAGGAAAATTCTTACTTGGCCGTAATCAGTTCATACTGGAAAGTAAAAGTGTCGTAATAACGTTAAGCCGGGGGTTATATATGTTACCGTCCAGTATGGTAATTCGTCCGCACTGGCACAGACTGAAATTACTTTTCATTCTAGACTGATATTCTATGGCGTTTACCGCCGTCTAATCTTCAGCCTTAATCAAAGCCACCGGGTAAATTCAAATATATAAAAGTGCCTACGCTTAGCTTCAGGGATAGGCTCAGTAATAATCCAGTAATACAGAGGTGATATCAACTTGAACAGAACTTCAAATCAGTTGCAGTCCGTATCGGTATGGACGAATTACCATTGTTTTTCTGGTGTGACTACTAAAGACTTTATGATGAACGATGTCAACGAGGTAAAACGCTGATTCTAAAATAAGATTTTGCGTCTTATCTTGCTGTCGCTAAACAAGAATGGGGAAGCCGAAGCTCTAATACGAATAGCAACAGTCGTCGGGCGTTTAACGAAATTCAAGCAAGCGATAAACGCATATGCTCTCACACACAATTTATGCACTCAGTAAGAAAAAAACACGATGAAAACAACATTAGCTGACCAGTCACGATGAACAAGGTTCGGACCTGGTCTACTATTTCACCATTATTGCAGAACGCGAATTACCGGATTGGCAATAATGCACAGCATTGATTTCGGTGCGTACTGCGCGACAGCGTCGCAGAGATCCCGCACAATCGATGCGTTAGTGTTGAACAAGTCGTCTCTGGTCATTCCTATAATATGCAAAGTGCTTATACTCTCAAACAATAAGTAAACAAAGCAAAGTGCCTGATAAAAACCTTAGATCAGAGAACTAGCAATTAAAATAGGAGAAAAAACGTTTAAAAGCTTTTCACCAATGAAATGCCGGTCTTCTTTCACTTCATAACTAGGCCATTTTGGAGCCTTCAATTCGTGAAATAGATGGTGCAGTGCTGACCTCCGTTACTATGCCATCAACCATGAATATCCTATTCTAAAGGCGGAGTGTACAGTTTACAGCCACGTGGCAAACGTAGCGTGTAGTCTCCTGGTTCCATCCGGTTGGTGGTACTCATTTTTAAATTTTGGAACGAAGAAAAGCGAATGACCTGATCAGGGCTTGAGCTCGGGATCTATTGGTTTTGAGTTCGAGGGTCAGCTGAATGAAAAACCCCGGTCTGAAGCGAGATGTAAATTCCCTTTGTCAGGGGAATTCGTGAATAATATAAACACTGCCTTAGAGTGGAATCAAAGCCAGCACCTCCGTATTTTGAAGCATACCTCTTAGACACAGTGTTAACACGCCACCTTGGAATGATTCACTGTAATCAGCAGTCGTTAGAAAAAAATGACGTTGCATCTACAAGTAGAACTTCGCACTTCTAACGTAGAGGGTAGAACGACGTTAACTGCGCCGCCGCTCACTGTTACAGGCGACCTCAAGATCTGACTCACTTTAACATAACGGGAGGTGTAATTAAAGGGACGAAAATCCAATTCGTATCGTATTGATACCATTTTGACAAAGTTGGAAGCGTACTGAAAACTTCATAGCTGAAAAACACCAGGGATGAACTGACAAGGACGGAGGTGTTCTGCTTAGCACAAGGTGAAAAGAATCCAAGAAAAATGATTGGGTTGCTCAGTCGGTAGTGCATAGCCGTAGAACAGAACCAAGAGGTCTCAAGCTCATGCCGCGGTCGGGGTTACTCGCTCTTCCTCCTTCCGAGGTTGATGAATTAGTACCAGTACCACTCTGTGGGAAGAAACAGGATACAACTATACAATATGTCTGTCACCTAGCTGGTGTCGACTTTGCCTTAAAAATGGTTGCTCAGTCGGTAGAGCGTCGGAGCGAGAACAGAAGTTCCAGGTTTGAAACCCGATTGCCTTTAAAAAGATAAGCTACTCCTGGCTGATGGAATGTAAACGGAAAGCAGCGCTCCGCCATCAACTTCATGAAAAGAATTTCTTTAGAAATTGTTGCTAAAAAAGGGGTTCATGTACAAAGGACCTGCCGTCGGTCCACTACTGAGCATGAAACAAGTAAATCGCTGCTTCGTATCCTCGAAAGCTTCACGGTTTCAAAGCGCTGAAAAACTACTTATGCCAAAACGTGAAACACGTGCCTTACCGGGTTTTCTAGGAACGCCGGCCGGAAGCAGGACTACGTCCGCGCCGACCAGGGCTTTTTCCATTTCGTTGGTACCCATGTGCGACGTCACCATCGCCGGCGTGCATATGTGCGACAAATCTGCGCCGACACCCAGCGTCTTGGTGATGTCGTACAGAGCCAGGTGGGAAATGATCGGGTTCAACTTCAGCAGAAGTGACATCGGCTGGCCGATGCCACCGCTGGCGCCAATTACTGTGACCTTCGCGCCACTCTGAAAGCACGCATCCGTTTATCGAGCCAGTAACAGTCATCGCTCACAAGGCGCAATGCAAAACACTGACCTTCGAATGGAAGCCCCTGATCAACCTGGATAACGAACGCTGCAGGATCGGCATAGTCGCTGCGGATTTTCTATAACGCATCAGAGAT